AAGTACTAATCAATTATTATAAATCATACTTTAGTTAATGAGTTATTGATACTTCAAGTGCAAAATGATGATATAAAACCATGATAAAAATGCACTTTTAAGTACTAATCAGAATACATAACTCAATTCTACTGTTTGGAAGTCCAAATCTTAGCAACAACAAAGAAGTCTGAATTTGTCCTGTAGCCTAACTACTGTTTAGTGTTCAGCTTATATCTTCAGTTTTAGAAATCCAAATGACCTCAAAATTTTTTTTTTTTGAAAAGCTGAGATAATTTTCTAAAACTTTCATGATTTAAGTCTGTTCAAATTCTAACGTTAACAATAATGTTTTGTTCAGACAGGAAGATAAGGATTATCACTAAGTCAAAAGTTGGCCACCCACTTAACAATTAGTTATCAAATCAATAGTTTCAAATTTTAGCATATAAAAAGAGACATTTTTCATATATTTATGCATCTTAATTTTTAGATCAAGATCATGTTTTTTATTTTTTATTTTTATTTTTGTAATATTTAAATTTTATTTCATGTTATATTTTCCTTTATCTCTTATTTATGCTTTTCATTTCCTTTACTATACTTATGTTCTTATATTATTTATTTATGTTTCTCTTCTTTTATTATGTTTAGTTAAGTTTATTATGTCAAAGTAAAAATATTATACTAATAATATAAGAATAAGTATAGTGTAAACTCAATATGGACTTTAATGTTTGATACTAACATATTTTGTATTTGTTATCTTGTTCACTCCTAATACTTTGCTTGTTAGATAGTTAATATAGATTTATGTTATATAATCTTCGTACAATAAATACTTGACACTTTCATAGCATAAATCTTATGGTATAACCAACACCAGTGTTATAAAAAAACTTGATTTGTTGTTAACATAAATTATAATTATGAATACCTGACAACATTTACAAGTATTAACATTATTTGAATAAAATAACTAATGTAATCATGTTAACAATTTATAATTCGATTGGAACCTCCTTTGTGTGTAGTTTTTAATTGAGTAATAAAAAGAGTTTATACTGTACTTGTTTGAAATACTATTAGTGGATCCTCTAACCTTGATAATTATTTTATCCTTATTTAATCCTTACATCAATATCACATCTCAAAGCTCTTTTCAACTCCTTTTTTGTTATTATTTATTTTTTTATTTGTAGTTTATACAATTAACCTCTATATGGTGCGATTTCAGTCTTGCTGGGGTATTTATTACTTTGACACTTCTACATTTAGGAGAAGACATCAACCCTTTAGTCATGTTATTAACCTGGACATGTAACTTTACACCACTCCATTCAAAAATCACGATGCCAGATAATACATCCCAATAAAAACCATGCGGTAAAAATAAAAAAAATATTTCAATAAAGTATATTTAAGTATTATTTGGGAATGCAATTTAAATAGTATTTTATAAAAAAAATAATTAATTTTTTTTTCAGATTATTTTTATATTTTAAAATTATTTTGATATGATTATATAAAAAATAAATTTTTAAAAATAAAATTATGATATTATTTTTATACAATTTCAAAAAAAATCTTTAAAAAATAAAAGGTACAGCAATACTGCACGACACCTTACTCGACAGAAATGTCCCTGCTGTTGCGTTACCCTATAAACGCTCCTATAAATGCTTTTAGGAGAAGAATCCACTAGAGAGGAGGAGAAAAAGAGCGGGATGGTTTAGTCTCTTTACGGCATTTGTTTCAACCATTCGCCTTCCTTTTTCTTCCTCCTCCTCCATGGATGGTGAAGTGGGTCCCCCTGTTCCCCTCGTGGAATCTCCTCTTGAACTCAACCCCGTTGGATCTCCTGAGGTCGACGTCCACGCACTGCCGTCTGATGAAGATCATGATCCGGATCACGATCGCGAACACGAGCAGTCATCTGGTCCTACCGTTCAAACTGTGGATCTCAAGCATAAAATCATTAAGCAGGCAAGCCCTCCCTTTCTATTTCTTTTTTATATATATATATATTGTTTGCTGTTTAGCAATAATTTAATTTAGTATATTTTTTTCTTTTGAATTTCTTTCAATTACAATTGTTTTTAAGAAGTCTTAATTATTGCATAATACTCAACTTGCGAATGAAGTTACTGAATTACAACTCCTAAATTATTGTTTTGCAGGTGGAATATTATTTTAGTGATGAGAATTTGCCTACCGACAAGTATATGCTAAGTTGGATAAAGAAGAACAAAGAAGGCTATGGTAAATAGTTTGTTTTTCCCTTTTTAATGTCTATAGCTTGTCAATTGATAAATTTGTTAACAGGTTAGAGAGAAACGGAGAACCTTCTGTGGCTGGTGAAGTAGAAAATATAGCTAATGAGTGAATTGTGTAGTGATTGCTAATATATCTTTAATTATTAATTAATAAATAATCTAAAGTGCTTATTTCAACTTGAATTGCCATAGGCTCACTTCTCTGGTCTGGTTCCATTGTTCCAGCGCTCCCTGTTTATGTGGAAGACATAAAGAGCGACGAAGGGGCTTTTTTTTAGAATTGTATTGCTAACCTTTTATCTTGATTATGCCAAGAAATAAATAAATAAAATCATGCTAGGTTAGTGATATGACTATGCATGTAAATTTAGTGATAATGAAGTTGGACATCAATGCTTGCTTTCTATCTTCTAACTGCCTTCTGAAACTCTTTTGCCATGCAGTGCCATAATTTTTTCTTCTTTTTGGAATAACGAATTTACCCTCTTGCTGCTTCAATACAAGACCATCTCCCTGTTTTATTTATATTTTTACTCCAATCATATAGTTGTTTCTCCATTTGCAAATTATATCCTTCCTCTCCTTTATATGCTGCAACTCCACAACAATTTTGATGATTTTGTTTGTACTTTTGAATTAACCATATTCATACTTGTGGAATTGGGAGTCTGCTTGCACTACTTCATCAAAGTATGAAATGATTTGAGTTGGAGAATGGTTTCCCTTGGCTTTTGTAGACAATCTTGTTATGATTTATGCTTCTAAATGTTGCTAATTGTTCATACATGTTACCACGATGTTTTTTCATGTAATAGTTATGCACATTCATGGTAAGTGTTTTCTTGCAGTTCCTATCACAGTTATTACTTCTTTTAGGAAAATGAAGAAGCTTACTCAAGACTCCACATTTATTGTGGCTGCGCTTAGGGAGTCTTCCATTCTTGTAAGAAGCTTCATCTTCTCCCTTTCTTTTATGTCATGCTTATGGAATTGGATTCTGTGGAGACAGAAAAAAGTTTGCTTGTCACAGATTTATTTGCCTTAATCTACAGGTTGTAAATTCAGATGGAAAGATGGTGAAGCGCCTTGATCCTTTTCATTGTGCAGAGGTCAAGGATCCTAAGGTATTTTAATGAACTTGAAACCCCCC